ATGTCGTTTGATCAAATATTGTAAACATCTGAAAAATTAAATCGATTTTATTAGAAACTATAATTGTAATCTTGAAAACATAGAGGTTAAAATATTTATAATCATTGATTATACAAAATATATTATCTTAAGATAATTTGATTATTTATTTAAAATATATATATATATACATATGTATATCTATTAAATGTATATATATAACATATATTGTACCTTAAAGGTGATTGAAAAATGTCCATAATAGTTCCCATTTCTGTGCAAGACAAATTACAACGTAGTTGATCCAGCCCTCGCAGAAACTCTGTTCTTTTTATAACATGTTCGTTATGTACGTCATATTGACGCATAAATTCGATAACCTTCCCATGAAAGTAAAAATATTGAATATAAAGGAAGAATATAAATATATTCACATTTTATGCTTTACCTTTATTCTTTCGCGCACAACTTTCGCTTTAATTTTGGCTAAAATTAAAAGGATATTTGTTTCATCATCTGTGAGTACCAATGGCGGTTTTTCAGCATTTATCAATCTTTTTTCTTTTAACATAGAGTGATACAAAGGTTCCTCAATTGGCAAAGCTTCTAATTCTTTTAAAAACCAATTATAATTGAAGCCTAAATCATTATTATATCTCTGCTCTAATGCAAACTGTTCTTCTTCAGAAAGTAATATAGCAGCAGTCGTTAAAACTTGGCGTAATTGTGAACGCGACACGTGACCTTTATTATGCCTAAAAATTAATTAAAAACATAAAAAATCTATTTTTTTAATAATGTGCATGTATATGTTATGAAATGAAAATTAAGCATACCGATCGTAATCCTTGAAAAATTGTTTTATCAAAATTCGTCTTTCATTGACACGATACCGAATTTTCAATAATGTTTCCTCGCAAAGATCTCTTTTGCTTTTTTCTTGGCATTGCCAATCTGAAGTTCCTTTCCGATTTAACTCCTCTATTTCTTTTGGCGGTGATTCAACCTTCAAATTTGGTAATTTTTCAAGTTCCTTCACAGTAAACACTGCAAATGAAACAGGGACGGAAAATAAAAAAAATAAATCAATCGCACAGTGTATAAAAAAAATACCTTTATCAATGTCATCTTCAAATGTACGCCAACATACACGATCTGGATCATTCGGATCTTTGTAAAGCGCAATAAGCGCGTTAATTTCCGTTTCCGCAAGATAAAGACGTCCCAAACTTGAAACCTGAAGACCATCCAATCCTCTCCTGAAGTTAGAAACTGTCGTTTTACCCGCATTCAGAGGATCAAAATCCTATTATCAATTATAACCGTTAATTATTTATTTACTATTTGATACACTGTTTATCTATGAGATAAACAAATTTCAAGTATGAATTCTAATGTATTAATATAAATTGTACACATATAAACTATAAAAAAAAATATCTTAAAAGTATGAAAATTAGATTTTTATTGTACTAAAATTATATTATTTTATATAATATTAAAAATTTTATTTACAAATTTATTATTGTCACCTTAAAAAATTCCGAAATACGTATTCGATTTTCTAATATATGTCTTTGAATACGTTGAATTATTTCCATCAAAGGCATTGTAGTTTTTTGTTCTTCCATCACCGGATGAAATACGGCTTGCTTTCCAAATACTTTGCTTGGTATAACTCTACCAATTTCCGGCCTCGGAAGCTTCGGTAATTCAGCCGTGATAATTCGACCAGGAAATTGATCAAGAAACTCCTTTTAAATAAATAAAATATTATCATAATTTCACTTTGCGATTTAATTGTCAATAAAATAAATTAATCTTTAGTGATGAATAATAAAACAAAAATAAGTATTCGTAAAATATGCAAGATAAAATATTACTCCACCAAGAGCCAGCATTTGATGTTTATCAAAATACGATTGAACTTCGTCGATCGCCTTTAAGAAAGCCACATAATTGATCGTATAAGCATCTTTTGCGAATCTTTTTACAAGCAAACAAAATTCCTCGGAAGCAAGAAGAATGCCTAAAAATTTTAGGATTCGTCCGAAATGCGTGAAAGTTACAGTTCCAGCATTTTTTGAAATCTAGATAAAAAGGAAAGTAATAAATATATGTCATTCAATATTTATCATTCAAAGATAAAAATATAAGAGATATAAAATGCATTAATTTTTTTATTAATAATAAAAAAATTATCTTTTACATACTAATTCGTAATCTTGGAAATAAGGCCTTAATATGAGTTTTCTTTTGTTTATAAGAATGGCAATTTGAGTAAGTATAAGACATAATTTTCGGAATTCCGTTGCACTTAATTGATTTACATGTTCTGGATCTTCCCATTCCAAACCAGTTACAAGTGGTTTGTTTTTATCAAATTCAGGAACTATAGGAAAAAATTATGCTTTTTATTTAATTCTTTTATCTAATGTGTCACTCATTGAAAATTCATTGAAAAAATAATAGATAGTCAAATACTAATATTTATGAGAGAAAATAAATTTTGTCCCAACGATGAGTTCACTTAACGGTACCGAGTCAGGTATGTTGAATAAATACAAATTCTTACCATATATTCAAATTTTCGAAATTTACTTTCTCATTATTTTACTATTTACTTTATTTTTAATTATTTGTTTTAAGTGAATAATAAAATATATAAAATAATATAATTATTTATGTATCATATAACACATAATATAATAGTTTGTAATAAATTTGTAATATATATATATATATATATATATAATTTTTTTAAATATTCATAAATGATACATAATTAAGAAAATTTTAAATTTATTTAATATTTTACTAACTATCTAACATTCTATAAAATTTAAATTAATCATACCACTATTGTGAATTATTTCGCAAAACTGTGTATAAAATATTCGACCATCTTGAACACGAAAATAATCGGCTAAGTCACAAATTTCTTTGTCAGATAAACCAATTTGATCCTTCAGTGGGCCAGCCAATACCGAAATAAATTTTGACTCTGTGTATTAATAACATTATATAGTTCATATTCAAATTTACAATCTTCATTATATAATGTCGGTAAATACTAAGTACATATCTGTTAAAAATCAATAATAAAATACAAATATAATATTGAATAATATAAAATTTTAATATGATAATTTTAAAAATATGATGCAATTGAAAAATATAATTAAAAATGTTATATGGAAAAAATTGATTATAAAAATTAAAATGAAAAATGAAAATTCAAAATTATTATACTATATTATACTATTATTTATATTATATTATATCATATCATATTATATTATTATTATACTATACCTGAAATCAAAGAATTATTATTAGGATCTAACGGTTTGTAAAAGTCCCATAAATTAAAACCCACGCGAAATATTGCTGCTCGTATTTTATTACAAGTACGCCAAACATCTTGTAGCCTCAAAATCTATGGATTATTTATTAGATATGAAAAATTAAAATAAATTAAAATAAAAGTATTTTTCTTTACATTTTTTCTTATTTTATAAAAAATAAATAATAAAAATTTGACTTTACCTTTTGTTCAGGCATTTCGATAATTGAAAGAGAAAATATTCAAAAATTATATCATTACAAAAATTTTATTCTATCTAAAAATTTTACAATTCGCGAACTATACTTCCATTTATAAACAAAAAACAAACGTTAATTGATAAAAATATAAAATATCCATTCAAAAATATAAATTCAATCATTTGATTATTTGTTAGTTATGTGACTATAAATATTAAAGAAAAATATTTTAAATAAATAAATAAAATATTTAATTAAATTTGATAGGATAAATAAACATCAAATAATAAGGACATTTTATTGTAATTATTATTACAATAAAGAGTAAATAATAATATATAAAGAATTTAAAATACGAAAAAATTTCCTTATTGATAATAAATATTTTATTTTAATATTATTTAAAAATTTTATTTTATGATATATAAATTTACACAGTATATTTTTATATCATTGAATGACTGAAGTACATACAACGACATCTAGGTTGATACTAGCGCCAACTGTTAGCGTCTACAATGAGAACGCTGAATCAACGGTAAATATTTCCCGCTTTTATTAGACATCAACATGAAAATGAAATCTCATTTTTACTTAATCATTTTAATAAACATTGATACTCAAATAGTAAAAATAAAAATATAACAATACAAAATTATTAAAATAATTATATCAAAATTAACTTAGAAACAATATTTTATTGATTTCTTAGAAATTATGCGCATAGAATTCTGGGAAATGATATTGAATGGAGCTGGATCTTCTCTGAATTCTTATTGGCTGGCATATATTACTTAGCATTTACCACGAATCTTATTGGCTCTACATTTTCGCTCCATTCTCCACACAAGGCTAAAATTTTCGTATACATGCCATTATATTCACTATTGCCCCTTAACATCACTAAAATACTCGGCAACATCGATTGGTATAATAGGAGCGTAACAATGTTTTAAATTATTGGTAATTCGTTTTCTTGAAATTAAATTTTTTATGATAATTTGTATTCTAAGCAAAATCTTTTTTTACTTAATAATTATTAAAATACTTAATTATACATATAAATAAAATAAGGAACCAATTTATTAAAAAATATTATTTAATGTTAATCATATTATTTTTGATAATAGAAACTATTATTTTTAATTTTCAAAATTATATTTAATTTTATTTTATTATTTTTAAGTTTAAGAAAAAGTTTTAGAAATCAAAAATTAAAAAGTAATTATAATAAACAATGTTCTCTGAAAAAAATATTAATTTCTTTTTCTTATAATTGTATAAAGTTTGTTATAAATAATATAACATATTTGAAAATTATTAACTAACCTGGTATTATGTACTAAAGATACGGTACTGCATGATGAAATCTGATTGGCTCAGATACCTATTATGGGGGAAGTAAAAGAGATTCCATGATGCTTTGCGCGGAATCTCCTGAGTCAAACTGAGCGCAAGTCGTACCTCTCCCTTCTCCATTCGGCGGCCGATCAGTACGGACGTGAGAGTGTTGTTAGCTCGTGTAGTGTATTTAATTACTACGTTAAAACGCGATTTATAATTGTGTTTTAAGTGTTTCATAAAAATAATAAAAATAAAATATAATAAACTATGGCCGATCAGGAGAATAAGGACTTCAGCGAAGATATTGCCGATCAAAACTTCGAGCAGAACGGCGAAGCAGAGAACGGCGGCGGGGACGCCGCAGAAAATGGCCAAGAATCGCAAGAGGAAAGGTAACCCTTTTCATCTTTAATATCGATCTTGTGATTAAATAAAACGTCGTTTTACAAAATTATCGATTTCGATTCACTTGGTACTTAGAACGCGCGGGAATATAAAGCTTCCAAACGAGAGTTGCTTTGTGCGATACGATTGTCGCGATGACAAAATGGCGGATGCGCGAGGTCCCGAAAAATTAATCCGTTCCCATCAATTCTAAAGCGAGCGTTCCTAGTATTGCAGTTAACTTCTTTTATATTGCTGCAGTATAAAGAAATCCTAGGTATCAATCATTTTTTCTAAAACCAACAATAAATAACAATAAAAGGAAGTGAGTCGGTCAAATTGAAAGGAATGCCGGCCGCAAGTTCAGAAAGGGCGCGCCCACGCATTGTTGTAAAGTTTATAAAGAAAAAATAAATTTTTATGCTTAATCAAGAAATTTTATATATAGATTTGATACGCTTTGCTTGGGCACGTCTTTTTTTAAATTTTTTGTCACTAATACATCGTATCACGTCCTCGTGTTTTTCACACACAACACGCATTTATGCATCAAATCAGAACATTAAATAATATATCATAAATGTAATGAGTATATAGATTATTCAGGGAGGGTAATGCGTAATGATCTTTGGTTATTTAGAATTGTCGTGATGTTTATTAGAATTATTAATAGATTATAAGAATTTTTGGTGGTAGGGCAGAGCACTTTGCCTTTCCCCTTTTTCAGCGTAACGAGATCTCAAGCTGGACGATTTGCTCATCGACGAATTTAGATGTCAATGTTGATGTACGGACACAGTCTATGTAAATATTTTGTAATGTCGCATATACGTTCGTTTTTACTTTCTTCTACTATCACAGCATTTTTAGTTCTATACCTAAGGGATTCGACTTTTTTTTTTCTTTATATCCCTACAGCTTTGGATTATCACAAACTCTTATATAGTATGGGGTATCTTTTTGCAATATGGGTAAGCTACTTTAGATTGTAACTTGTAGAACTACTTGAATTGATACTGGGGAAGAAGATGTAACCTTCAAATTTATTAAAATATATAGTTTTTATATCTATTAAAAAATTTTATAAATGATAGATAAAATATAAAATTATGTTATCATTATCATACATAAAACAAAATTTGGAGGTATGCTTCCTCTCACCCAAATACTAGAAGTACAAATGCGTGTTAAAGGATGTGATATATATGTATGAAGTAACAAAAAATAACTTAAAACTGGCATTTCCTTGTTTATTATATCAGTCTATTATACAGTAAAAAGAGAAAATCAAAAGTAAATATTGCATGTTTTTTATTGCAAAATTATAATAAGGTAACTATATACATATATGAATAATAAGTATTTTAACTTTATAAGTGCTGTTGTTGCGAGGTATACATTTATCTGTTTAAAATTTTGTAATTTTGTGTAAACTCCTTATTTCTGCTCTCCTTCCTAGTTAATTCTATTCTAGTTTTGTAAATGATAAAAAGAAGTTATTTCATCAATGATAAAAATTTCTACACATTACGCAAATAATAATTGTAATATTTTTATAGAGCATAAACTTTGAAATGCATTTTTGGCCAGCTGAGTCTTCCTCATTGATTCATTGCAGCAGAATTCTGGTTAGTCAATTCTTCATGATTGACAATATGTACGCTTACCTGGGATCTGTGAACTGAACCGTGAAGCCTTATGATTGACTTCTGAGTCTGAATTATTGTGAGAAGTCTACTTCAAGTTCAAGTCCGTCATGTTTCGTCACAACACAAGCACTGGAAGTCGAGTCAATTACGTCAGATCAATAAGTCTCGCACAGACACACACTTGCCTGCTGGGTCACGCGTAGAGTAATTTCTGATCAGATGTCAATGCTGTTTGGGCGTGATCAAAGCACAGAGTCACTAGGGCCAATGCGAAAAACTCCTATAGGTCGGAATGCCATTAACCCAGTTTATGTGGCTTGATCTGCAGGTGGCAAACGACCCAGTGCGATTATGGCGGGCGGCTCGCAACCGGCTAACCGTGACCCGACCAACAACTGATTACCGGCGAGTGACTGGTGCCTACGGTATTTATCACCAGCCCTAGATGATATATGAAAAGATCAATCTAAGTACAGACAACTATCATCACACTGCCAGAAAAGTGAAAAATTGCAGCTTATTATATTTGTGTATGAAAAGGCTGAAAAGCATATCAGGACTTGAAATATAATATTTTGCTGATGAATAAACAAAAAGAGAGAAATATTATACATATATAAATATACTATAAATAAACAAAATATTATGTGCATATAGATATTTAAAAAATATCAAGAAGTGACCATCATTAACTTGTAATATGGAAACAATTTTTTTAGCTTTTTAATAGAGTTGCAGTCTATCTACCATATGTCAATTCTTTGGGCCAATCAGCAGTCAGAGTTCAACTTGGAAAAGATAAATTTTATTTCCTTTAGGAGCAGCTGTATGTCAACTGGAGTTATAACTATTGTTCGGGTTCACATGAACATCGTGAAAAGTACTTTGCTCTCTCAATGCGTTAATTTTTACATATCTACTTTTTTCCAAGTTTTTTCCTTTAATTTTTGTTGATAAATATATTTATCTGAAGTTCAAATCAAGGTCTATGTGGTGTGCAAAGCAGTCTTCTCATGGTTTCTCATAATCCTGTTTTTTTTATTAAGGACAAACATAATTTTCATATAATAAGATTATATCAGTGAGTTCATTTATTCTAGGTAATTTTATGTCCTTATTAATAATACATAACTATCAAATTAAGATACTTTTATTCTCGCAAAATTATTTATTCTTCCAAATTTTAAAGTAGACATTAATGTAGGTCACTTAATTGATTATAGATTAAATTTACATGATTTATATATACATGAGTATATATTATATATTTATATACATAAGAAGCATTTAATAAATTACGTACATTACCTATTGAAAAAATTCCTTACCAAAATGTCTTTTAAAAGTTTATCCAGCCCTTTTTCCAAATAATATATTATTGATCTATTGCATCTCTTATATATTGTCAATATTAAATTTTAATATTTTAACTTATATTCTAATTTTTCCAGGGGTCAAGTCAAACTCCTTTTTTCAAATATAAATGGAAATAATTTGTAACAAAATTTAAATTTTTGCTTCAAACTTAGTCCTTAAAATATTTATATAAATTTCAAAGATCATTATAATAAAATATATTACATTGCTTTGCAGGTCAACCGGGGGTAATCAGGATTCTTTAAATGATAGGTACATTTTTTTTATTATTATTATTAATTTAGTTTTTTATATTTGTATATAATAATAAATATTTGAATTCAAAAAGCATGCTTTTTAAATTCTAATAATTTTATGACTGGAAAAATATTTTGTTTTAATTAAAATTAAAAATTAAAATATAAATATCATTTAAAAATTATTTATAAATGTATAGTTATATAGTATAATTTTTATTAAATTTTTCTAATATGTATTTGTGGAACATCTTTAGAGAGTTAATTATAAAAAATCAAAAAAATTTTGATATTTAAAAATGATTAAGACTTATATATTAAGTTATTATAAGCAATTGAAGTTTATTCTAAATGCAATATGAAGTAAAATCTTGTATGATTGTCTCCATTACAGCGTCAAACTATTTCCATCTTATTTCATCTAATGCGAACTTATAATTTAATAAATGATAACTAACTAATTTTATATTTCTTTTAGTCTTTAAATTCTTTAAAAGATGTTCGACAATATATAATACTTTATATAAAAAAAATTCTCTCACAATTGATTTAAGTCAAATATCATAACATTTTTATTTTTTATAGGAAATTATTTGTGGGTGGATTAAGCTGGGAAACTACAGACAGTGAGTATTTTTTATTTATTTATTTTAAAAATTATAATATTATTATTGTATAATATTATTTATAAATTATGATGTTATTTTACTTAGGACACCTTCAGATGATATCAATCATATGAGATCAAACTTAATACTGAGTTTTCATAAAAATTAAACGGTGTAAATAATTAATAAATTTAATTACTAAAATTTTAAATAAGCATGTTAATTTTCAGAGGAATTAAGGGATCACTTTGGTACATATGGTGATATTGAAAGCATTAATGTCAAAACAGATCCTAATACGGGACGATCGCGGGGATTCGCTTTTATTGTTTTTGCGAAAGCTGAATCGTTAGATAAGGTAAAATTATGAAATAATAAGTTGTATAAAAACAATATTTGATTAATATGATGATAATTATGACCAGTTCTGCTACTGAAATCATTTGAAGATATTCCAATTTCTGAAAAAAAATTATTCGGAGATTCTTAAGATTGTAAAAAAAAAATTTTTTATAAAAATCATTTATATTTTAGATTATGGCAGCTGGTGACCATGTAATTAATAATAAGAAAGTCGATCCTAAGAAAGCAAAGGCTAGACATGGTAAAATTTTTGTTGGTGGTCTTTCGACGGAATTGTCGGATGATGATATCAAAAATTTCTTTTCTCAATTTGGAACAGTAAATATTTTAATTTTTTTTATTATAAAAATTATTCATTTATCCTTTAGAATAAATAGAATAATGAAATTAAATATTTGTTGTAGATTGTCGAAGTGGAAATGCCATTTGACAAGACAAAGAACCAAAGGAAAGGATTTTGCTTCATTACTTTTGAATCTGAACAAGTAGTAAATGAATTATTGAAAACACCTAAGCAGACAATCAATGGTAAAGAAGTACGTGTAACATCGATAAATGAATTAATTGATTCTAAAAAAAACTACATAGAAAAAAATATTAATATGTTCGAATAAATTAAATAGGTTGATGTGAAAAAAGCAACACCAAAACCAGATGGCATGGGAGGTATGCGTGGCGGTGCTGGTGGTCGAGGCGGCCGTGGCGGAAGAGGAGGTAGAGGACGTGGTTTTGGTGGTCAAGGTGGTTGGGGCCAAGGTGGATACGGAGGAGGTTATGGCGGCGGTTACGGACAAGGCGGTTATGGCGGTGGCTATGATGGATACGGAGGAGGCTACGATTATTACGGCGGTGGGTACGGCGGCTATGGTGGTTACGACTACAGTGGATACGGTAATTTTATTGATTATTATTAAAAGAACTTACACGCGCTTATCGCTGTGTAGGATTATATTGAATTTAATTTCACTTTTTTCTAATAATCAGTAGCAGATGATTTTTTGCTGCTACCGTCCCAATGTATTTGGCAAACAACATAACATAATTATTACAAGTATTATATTTTATTTATTATTTATTTTATTCTTTATGCATTTCATTAATTTTCTAATATCTTAAATAATATAGATTTTTATTAATATTTAAAATCATTAAAACTTTTAAAATTTAATATCAATTTGATGAATTATATATATAATAATTTTTTTATTATACATAAACCTAAATTTTATATAAAGTAACTTCAAAATAAATTCTTATTATTAACTATAATTTAATATAATATAATTTTATAATTTATAATTTAATTTAATATAATATTGAATATATATAATGTAATATATTGTTTTTTTATTAAAATACGATATAACTTATACATTATTATTATTATTATATATTTTAGAATTTTAAATTTTATTAATATTTAATTATTTAAATATTTAAATTTTTTATGGTTGATTTAATAATTTTAAATTAATAATATTAATAAATAATGTTAGATTAAAACTATAACGAAATATTAATATTAAAAAAAATAAATCTTTTTATCTTTTCAATAAATGTTTTGAGCTATATACATATGGGACGAATTTTAAAAAATAATGATCAAATTTTGAATAAGGTTTTCAAAATTACCTGACACGAAGTTTTAATTATCCATACCTCCTATAAAATTTTTCTTTAAGTAAAATTTTATAGAAAATTTTTTATTTATGTTATGTAAATTTAAATTATTTATCTTGGTATAGTATAATATTAATTTAATATTATATAAATTAGTATAAATTATATTAAATGATATAAAATTAATGTGATACGATTAATACTGCAAATTGAGTGCTGGTTTGCAGATAAATCAGCGGAATCTTTGTTTTTAATATTATTTATATTATTAAATTTTAAGTATTATTGAAAAATTAATTATAAATATAATTAAATAAATATAAATTATATAATTTAATATAAAATTAAGAAAGTAAACCAGCAGCTCAGATATATAGGAACTACATTCGGATTATGTTCTTTTGTTTTGAAATATATTTTATATTTTTATATTATAAAAATAATGTATAGTATATGATGTATAATATTAAAAAAAATAACATAATCCGAAAGATAAACCTCTACTTCCAGAGGGTTGGCTGTTTTTGAGCTGTGATCAAATAATTTATTAATTCTAACAAATTTCCTAAGTTAAATTTTTTAATACCTTATTAATATTTAATTTATATATACATATATATACACACATACATATGAACGACATTAAATTCAGGAAAGCAGGATATCATATAATATGTAACAGTGAATGTGTGAAGATAAATAAGATTATAATTCTTTAACATTCTTTAAAAATTTAATTTCTTTGTATATATTTAATTAATATAATATGCAGAACTAGAAAGAAAACCAGTAAAAAATGCAAATCTTGATTGTTTTCATTAAATACATTCATAAAATAAAAATAAACATATAGATAATTTAAATAATATTAATTAAAAATGTCATTTACATATATATAAATAATACATATAAAGAAGAAAATAATGCTGTCCTATTAATCTTCTTTCCAGTTTTGCATCTTATAATCATTTCTTTAAGTTATTTCTTTAATTCTTAATATTTATTAAGAATTATTACAATACAAAAATTATAAATCATTTTATTAATAAAATATTACACAAAAAGTATTGATTTCATATGTTCATTGATTAATATCAATGAATCCATGAAATAAATTCTTTTATTATATTTACTATCATAACTCTTAAGTTCTGTAGACTTGCTAACTTCAACACATATAGTCACTGTAACATAGTTATATGTGAACTTTAAATGTGTGGAGAACATAAAAGCAAAACTTATACAGGACAATGTCGTATGATATGATATATTAAACCTCCAATCCTTGCTTTCAAGTCCTGCCACGTAATCCTAATGTGCATGCTTTCACATATTTCACATAACCACTTCATTCATAAAACTAACACACTCTTTAAATGATAATAATTATCAATACTTGCAATAATTGTGTTTGATTTTTTTTTTAATTGTGTTTTATTGTTTTTAGTATGATTCTTTTTTCATAAGAGAAAACAAAAAAAATGAAAAAATATTGTTTACATTATCATTTATAAAATTATTTTCTGTTACATATATTAAATAAAAATAAATCTTTAAAAACACAATAGCAAGTCCACGATAAACTTACATATATATCTATTTGCGTGTTCGACCCTGCACACACTTTTTTCCTGGGACTGTGGCAAATAATTATAAATTATTACACTAAACTTTTTCGTCATAAGAAGTTTAAGTGCATGCCACTTCATGTTAACGGTATAATAAAATCATAGTATTTTTCGATACATAAGTTTATGAACAGCCTCTGCACTAGTATTACATATTAAATGTGCAAACAATAAACCCTTTGGAAGATAAGATTATTTCTTAATATTGTTGAATATTGTTGAATATTGTTTTAAATTCATATAATATATAGATTTAATATAATTTGAACTATATATTTTTATAAGAAGAAATATTTAATACTAAAATTTAAATTTAATAATTTTTTTTTTATATAATTGTATTTAACATATATTATGTATTAAATATATTGTACACCGGCGATCATTATTATTGTTATCATAGATATATTATTCTATAAAAGCACAATTGCCGGTTTATACTGACCCCATTTGTCTCTTATACCGTGTGTTCCATGAAACGCAGACGGCTATGGCTATGGCGGTGGTAGTTACGATGGTGGCTACAGTGGTGGGCGCGGTGGTGCACGCGGTAAAGGTACGCATTAGCGTTCCTTCTCTATTTTGTATTCCCAAACGTGTCCTCTACTTTATTAGCAAAATTCCAATTTCTAAATTCACATTCATTCATCAAATATTTTTCATCAACCATACTACTTTGCATCTTATTTTTGTTTATGTTCTTCCTTCATCATTTCCCTTTATTTTCTTTCTTAAGTATGTGTGTACATGTACGTGTGAGCATATGAAATTTTTACATTTATAGTTACGATACTAATAAGAATAAATTTTCAGCAGTTATGAATATATATTATTAAGTGTATCTGTATACAAATATTTTATTTTTACTTTTATACCATTTTTAATAACATTTTTATTTTATTTTTTTCTTACTATATTATTTATGAATTAATATCTATTTATTCTAATTTCTTTAACCACTTTTCAGAAATTTATATGTAATTGAAATATTTTATATAATTTGATATTTTTTTTATACATACAAATATTTTTTAATATGTTCTTAATAGTATCATAATTATCTAACAATTTTAATAATAAATTTGTAAGCACAAAAAATATTTATTAATTTAAATAAAAAATGCATATAAATTCATAATTTATATTCACAAATGAAACTAAAAAAAAAAATAATACAATTATAGAAAAAAAATTAGTTTAGGCTATAATATATTAATTTATACATTATTCATAATTTATTTGAATTAATTTAAATCTTTATGCTTAATTTAAATGCTAGTATTTTATTTTAAATAAATAAATATATTTTTTACACATCTCTTCAATATATAATCAAATATTTAATTGTTATAATATCACTAATGATATAGAAGTATAAATTAAAAAAAGGTTTCATTATTTAAAATTTTTCATTTTTAAGATTTAAAATTAATATTCTGATATACTATTATATTTCTTTTTGTATATGAATATATCTTTTTGTATATTTTTTTTTGTATATGAAATGTGTATTTTTATAGATATTTTTTTGAAAAAATATATATATAGGATATTATTTGATTATATATTTTGTGCATACAACACAAAATAATTAAAATTAAAATTAATGATTAATTAAAAATTATTTTTCATGCTGATACTAAACTCATTTCATCTTTTTCATTTTTCACGTCCTTAACCTTAAACATTTCTGGTTATTCAAAGCAATTTAAATTATAATATTAATGATATATTAAATTATGTTTTGATAATAGTATATAAGAATTATTAATATAAGTTTAAAATAAAGTCTTAGCAAAATAATTGTAAATTATTTAAGTAAGTTAAAATTTTTTAAATATACATACATGTGTAGCAATATGAAGATTTCAGTATTTCAGCATATGCAGATCCCAGAAATGTGTAAGGAGAAAAGGAGAGTATGAATCAGAACGCAGCCTTGCAGCTTACTACCTTAGCCTGTAGCCTCTATGTAGATTCTTCGTAGTTTTATATCCATTACGTTAGTCTGTATATCTATATATATTATTTCGTACTTTATTCTGTTATTAATAGAAGTGTGCGTGCGGTAATTTCTACAAATAAACCGTTTTGTAGTTAATCTTTTCTAATTTCTCCAAAAAAAAAAAAAAAAAAGAAAAGAAAAAAACTACGGGAAGAAGAAAGCGGAGAGATATATCCAAGTTGCTGGACTAACGTACATCGTGGATATTGTTTCAGGAGGCTCAGGCTACGGCGGAAAGCAGAGGGGAGGTGGTCGTCAGAACCAAAGGCACCAACCCTATTAATGGAAATCATTCATTGCGACCGCAATGCAATTCGCATTGTAACCGCTGGTGAGTCATCATAGCTTCCTGACATCTATAAATTCAACAACCTTTCTTTTCCTTTTCCAGTGTCATTTATGTTGAGCATTATCAATGATTTCATGTGGTTCCATAATAAAGATATTCGTAATGATATAAATATTATATAAATAATATAATAAACATTTAAATATTTATTCTTCTTTTCAGGTTTCCTATCTCATCACTCGTTAAATCATCATTCCATTAAACCACGTCACTTTCAGCAAGATTTTCAACAACGCAGACTACTGCCGCAAAATAAAATGAATCATCAGGAGTCACGACAAAAACTGTAATAGCTTCATATTTTGCGTCTAGCAATACATCTGTATTATGGAGACAACAAAAGCAAACATATATACATATATATATTATATATATATAGGTACACAATGCTTTCTTCCATCTCTCGTTTACCCTTTTGTACAAAGTGAAAAATACTTCATATTTCACATTGGTCTCTTTCCTCATTTCATCTTATTTATCACTAATTTTTTACTGTTAGTACGTTACGTTGTTCAACGTAAGGCAATTTTGTAACATAGTACGTTTGAAAGATATTAACATTATATGCTGACATAAATATAAATACAGCATAATGATTATTTCAAATGTATGGATGATTACATCGATGATATGCCTTACGATGACATATTGTAACGTAATATTTTTGTGCAAATGGGAAAGCAAAAGATGATAGGAAATAATTTAAATACAGATATATTAGGAACAATCAAGTTTCTCATTCATCGCTTGGGACTATTAAAAGATAACTTGTCCCTATTTTTAACATTAAGATTATTTTAATTTGTCTATAAACTAAACTTAATAAGAGGAGATCCACTATAGAAGAGTAAGCAGGCAATGTACTTTTTACACGGCTACGATAAGACAAAATGAAAAGTACCGAGTTGTTTATAATGATTGTGTGAGGTATGAAATAAGAGGTAAAAAGATTATTGCTTCCTTATTGGTAAGAAGAATAGGATAAAATAAATTCATTTTGTGTACATAATATATACCGCGTATGTTTGTATTTGTGTTAACCGATCCTAATAATTTAATTTTTGGAAAATGATATGTACACAATATTTCATTAAAATATAGTGATAAACATCTATACATTAGATTTAAATAAGACTGACACGAGGATTTAGTGAATTTGTATTACAAACAATATTTTGCTGATTCTACCACAGTACATGCATCGAGCTAGGCATTCTTTCAGTTTTTATTCTACACTCAAGAACAACACATGTACATTATATTTATATATCGATAGTTTCATTCTAGGCAAAGAACATCGTAATAAGATTTTTAAACTAAAAGAAAATATTGTATTTTTCTCAAATTCAACACTGTTCTATGTCACAAAAGTATTACATTAAAAAAATTAGACAAAAAATAATATTGCCTTTTTTTAATTTCACAGTTTAAAATGAAATGTACAAAATGCATTCTCAATAATATTAAATATTTTCATTGAATAGTATTGTATAAATTTTTATTGTCTAATTAAATTGTAGAAAATAAGATATATTTCAATTAAATTTTCTATTAATTAAGAAAGTATATTTCAATTTATTAAGTTTTATAATTTTTTATATGATTCATTAAACGATATTTTTTGCTTACTAATTTCTATTTAAAAAATATAAAGAATTTCTATCTTGATGTGTATATAAAATGGGGAATTTGATATTTTTACTTATCTTGTATTACAAAATATTTTGATCATTAAATTAAAGAATTTTTTAACAGCTTTAATACAGAATAAAATTTTACAAAATTCAATTGTATGAAAACATATACAAAATGATATTAAAATAAACTATGAAATTTATTTTTAGGAGAATAATATATAAAAAATCAATTTTAAAATATTTGTTTTCCCCGCGTAGAAAAGAAATGTTTAAGATAATTTTCATAACATACAATTTAAGTTTGTTTCACTTATTTGTAAAAATTCTTTGGTATGTAAATTTTATGAGTTTTTCATTTGTGTACTTTATATAATTAAATGTATTATGTATTCTAATACTTTGTTTTATTATAATTAAACCTTAAAAATCAATAATTTTTAATGTTCTAATATGTTCAATTAAATAAAATTATTGAAAAAATTTTTTATTATGAATCATTATAAATATAAATTTTTATTCTTATAAAGTATTGTATATAAAAAATTAAAAATATTCTTTGTGAAATCTAATTTTGTTTATTTGTTTAAATATCTTCATTAATTTTTATTTTATTGTTTAAAATTGTTCGTTAAAATTTACAATTATAATGATTTTTTTTAGATTAAAGATTTTGTTATTCAGATCATTAGGTTTATTTAATGTTATTAGTTATTATTTATTAATAATAGTTTGAAATAGTATTAATAGATAATAAAATTATTTCTGAAAAAAATATAAATAAATAATGACTTTTTTAAGATAATATTTAAATTACTTTTACTTATTATTTTTAATAAATATTATTTATTAATATACAACCACGTATAAAAATAAATATAAAAACATTTCATAAAAATAATAAAAATAAATAATATTTTTATGATTTGTTCAGGTTATAGTTTTAAGTATTTTTTTAAATATTTCCTTCGAATTAAAGGTGTAATAAAATAAAAGTGATTTTCTAAAAAATATATTACTTTTATTTTTAATTATATACAAATAATTATATTAATTATCTTTAACAATCATATTTTAATCTTAAACAAAAACTAGAAAGATAAAAATTATATATATATATGATGTATATATGTATATATAATCAAAGTAAATAAATGATAAAAAATAAAATATAGATTATGCTATTAATATAATCATTTTAAAGTTTCAATTGTTTTATATATAAAATAAAATAAATATAATTTAATGGAAAACAATTTATATATTAGTATATAAATATATATTATAAGATATTAAGCTGATTTTAAAGTGATTTATTTAATAAACTATCCAATAATGCATCATTTACAATAGAATGAAACATGTATTGGATCAGTATATATGTGTCTGATCCAATAGAATTTTTCTATTTAAGCTATCTTATAATTGGTTGATTTTTCATATGAAAAATGAAATAACCAATCAGCGATTTAGTAAGTGCAAGGAAGTGCCCTTCTGGAATTTGTTCGATTGATGATGTAGTTCCTGTAAAATCCGCATAGCTTGGCTAAGAAGTCAGCTTCTGTAAGAGAGTCGTTTATCTCTATACGACCGGTGCTTCTGTGCAGGTTCCGCTGCATGTGCTGACATCAAGGTGCTTGGAGGACTCATACATTGTACTGTTTTTATAATTAACATTATTGTGGACTGTTGTTATTCGTGAAAACTTTCTGTTTTCGTCGAAGCATCTCGTTTTGCCGGGAAAAGCAGTGAGTTGTGTCGCGCATAAGTGATTCCATCGGGTGAGTGTATAATGCCATAAAATCGGCTTTGCCGATGTTCTTTGATTCGACTCATAGGGAAGACTTGAGACCGTACCAGGAAGGCAAGCATGATATGAGACTGTGAAGAGTGCTGCCCATTGTTAACGAATTAACTAAATTTGTAGTTCGTAAATTATTTTTAAAATTATTGAAAGTTTTGATGCTTGTGATAAATGATATTTGTTGAAATATTTTATTAAAATTTTACGCTGAGAAGTTTAGCGTTACTATTTCTCAGATCAAGAAAAATCGCCATGCTTGCTCATGCAACCGGGCGGCCCCTTTGCCCTCGACCTCGCACTTCGCACAGCACACGAGTTGAAAGATGATCTACAGATTTTTGTTTTCAAGTAACTGCTTTGCAAGAGAGATTCTCGTAATTTTTATATTTACGCAAGCACATGTTTTTATAATCGTACATGTTTTTGATTATAATTTAATGCAGAAATTACCGAAATTATAAAACATTTTATTACATACATTTTTAATATAAATTTATGTTCTAACATTATTGTCTTTATTTCTCATATAAAAAATTATATATAACAGCATGAATTGCTCTAATTTAAAATATTACATAGTTTTTATAATGAAATTGTTTCAAAACAATTTAATAAAATTAATTTTAAGCACATTATTCTCATGTGATATCCATAGATAGCCACTTTGATTAATGTGCATATTTTTAATTTTTATTTGATTATATATATTTGTTTTTTATAATCAGTTTTTATGTTTATTTTGTATTTATATATATGAATATTTTTTATATAATAAATAAATAAAAAATATATAATAAATTACTTAACATATAATTTTTAAATATATCTTATATATTTATATATTATATAAATATATATATATATATATATATATATATATATATATATATACACACACACACACATATATATGTGAATGTATGTATACATATATATATATATATTTAATTTAAATTATTTGTTTTGAATTCAATTTCTATATATGATTTAAATGTTTACTATTATTTAAATACTTGTTACTATTATTTAAATAAAATTAAAATATTTATATATTTTATATATTATATGACAAAAATGTATATTTGTACAAACAATATAATACATTATGAGTATTTTTTTTCTGTTACAGAAATCTAAACTTTTAATTCTCACGATTATTACATACTATTGCTGTTTAAGCAAAGTACTATTTTAGAAGTTAGAAATAAGAAAATGGTCATGGAGGCATCCCCTTCTCCACAAAATGTCGGTCGTGAATTTGTCCGACAATATTATACTTTACTTAATCAAGCTCCTGCGCATCTCCATAGGTAATTTAATAATTTTTATAAAAAAAATTGTATCTTTATTTCATATTACTAAAAAAATTATAATTTTAGATTCTATAATCAACACTCTTCTTTTGTACATGGAGGATTAGATTCAAATAGAGAATCTACTCCTGCAATTGGCCAAAAGCAAATACATCAAAAAATTCAACAATTAAACTTTCGAGATTGTCATGCTAAAATAAGTCAAGTTGATTCACAATTAACTCTTGAAAATGGTGTTGTTGTACAAGTAAGATATGATAATTTTAATGATTATAAGAAATTTAATTATTTTATATTTTTTTATTATCTTTATTGTATTCATTTAAAATATTAATTTATAATTAATATTTAAAAATTGAGAAAAATATATAATAAATTTATTATTAATAATTAAATTATTTATAGGTATCTGGAGAATTATCCAATGCTGGACAACCAATGCGCCGTTTTACACAAACATTTGTTTTGGCTATACAAGCACCAAAAACATATTATGTACATAATGATATATTTCGTTATCAAGATTTGATCTTTCCTGATGAAGAGGAAACGGATGTAGGTGTTGTAGAAGGAGGTGTAGGTGAATCTGGAGAGAGGGAAGGAGAAGAAGGAGGTCGTTCTGAACCGGAAGAAGATGAACATCAAAATCGAGGGCAACAACTTTCAGCACCAGCTGCATCTACTGAGCCTCAAGCTCAGCCACCGCTTATCCCTGCACAACAACCTGTATTACAACAGCAGCAACAAATATATTATCCACCACCGCAACAAACTCATGTTAGTTTAGTATTAAGATTAAATCATTTAAATCATTCAATTCAATTCAATCACTATATAGATTTAATATTTTAGGTACATCCCGTAATGCAACAAGTACTAAATGGATCGGTTCATGAAGAAACACCATTGATCAATCAACAACCACCACCTGCACAGCAGCAACAACAGCAGCAACAACAACAACCACCTCCACCACCTACTCAACAACATCAGTATATAACTGAAACTACATCACAAACACAATTTGTACAAGAAACAGAATTGGATTCCACTACTGAGCAGCAACAACAAACGGAAAATGAACCACAAGTACAATCAAATGAGACTCGAGAACAACCTGAAACTGAAACATTTACTACATCTGTACAAGAATCTGAACCAGAACATCAAGTGGCAAATACAAATGTAACTAGTAGTGGGCCGAAAACATATGCTAATCTTGTTAAATCATTCCCCAGTACTACCGGAGCTACCAGC